GCGTGGCGCTTCGCTTGTGCTATAAAGGGGGAGGAGCGTGCTTCACTATCAGCGATTGCTTTTAGTGTAGCGGTAAGCGCAACGATCCACAAGTGGTATCAGAGTCAAGGTCACGGGTTCGACCCCCGGCAACAGCATACTGCGCAGTTGTAGGCTGGCAGGTGCTGGGGGGGAGATTGTTGGGCCGCGGGTAAGCGGTGCCAGCAACAGCCAGCCTGTCGGTGCAATCGGACCGCGTGGCGCTTCGCTTGTGCTATAAAGGGGGAGGAGCGTGCTTCACTATCAGCGATTGCTTTTAGTGTAGCGGTAAGCGCAACGATCCACAACCTGGATAATCCTCTCCCTCAAGCCGGTCGGGAGCCCGGTCCCGATCTTGACCTTCCGCTCCGGCCTCTCGGGGTCAATCCGGATCTCCTCCACTTCTGAGGTGGGTTCAGCGCGGAGCTGACCCTCCTCATACTTCATGGCTTTGCTGTTGATAGTGTGGACCCTCAAGTCTTTTTGACCGATTTGTTTGCAAGCTTTCAGATAACAGCTCCTCGCCACTCGCTGATCTCCCCTGGCAACTCCGACGCCATTCGGAGTGGGAAACTTCATGCATAGGTGCTCCTGGGATATCACACATCTGAGGTCTTCCAGGGCCGGCCTTCCCATGATGATCTTATGCGCACAAGTTAGGCGTACGATGATAAACTCGACGTCTAACTTGGATACGCAGGGCTCGGAGCCCACCATCACGGGGAGGACTATGCTGCCCTCTGACTCAATGGAGTCCCCGGTGAAGCCCGAGAGTGGGGTTCTCACCGGGATCAAGTCTTTTCGGTCCAGCCCGAGACCTTGGAAGGTGTCATAGTACATGATGTTAACGGAGCTCCCATTGTCCACCAGGACTCGGTGGACGATCGTGTCGTTGATTTCGACCTTGATGACCAAGGCATCCCTGTGTGGCGGAGGCATCGGCGGCAAATCTGCGTCGGTGAAGAAGATGGGGTCCCTCTTCACCCTCTTGTCGGCGGGAGCCCTGGTTATCTCCCCCACGTATAGGGCTCGGGCCCACTGGTTCCGCTCTCCAGAGGTGTCGCCTCCCTGGGGTCCCCCGAATATGAATGAACATCGATGGTACTTCCGAGGGCCGTTCCCTGGGTCGGCATCGTCTTCCTCGGAGAAGGCGCCGAGCTCCCGCTTCTTGCCAGGCGGTGTCTCCTTTGACGTGGTAGCTTGGTTGGACCGCTACCACGTCAGGCTCCTCTTTTGCGGGATGCCTCCTTGTTTGCCAACGAATTGGCCCATGTACCCTTTCTGGATGAGTTCTTCAATTTGCCGCCGGAGAATGACGCAATCATCTGTATCATGCCCTGCTCTCCGATGGAATCGACAATATTGGTCGTGGTTGCGCTTGGCAGTCACCACATCACACTCCTCCGGAAAATCGACTAAACCTTGCTCCTCCGCGTAGTCGAGGATGGCCCCGACCGGCTGAGCAAGTGGAGTCAATTGCTTGACGGGCTGTAGCGGTCCGCTCGGGACGTCCGCCTTGCCCTTGCCTCTACTTTTGTTACCTCTGTACTTGTTGTTTTTGTTGCTAGCTTTGCCGTCAGCTTTCTCAGCACCCGAACCGGCTTCCTTCTTCTTTTCTTCTTTTGCACCTTCTTCCTCATCTCTTTTCCTCTGCAAGGCGTCCTCCGCCTCGGCTTGCCGGTCGGCACGGCCGAGCGCCTCCTCGTACGAGGTGGGGGGACTTCTGACGAAATCTTTGTAAAGCTCGCCCGATCGGATAGAGTCTGTGAGCATGGCCACCCCGGTCCTGTCATCAAGGCCCTGAACCTTGACTGACTCGGCCCTCCACCTCGCTAGGAAGGTCGACAATGATTCCTTCTTCCCCTGTTTTAGACCGAACAGGTGGCTGAAGTTTTTCTTGACGTCTCGGGAGCTCGCGAACCTCAAGAGAAAGCGCTGAGCCAACTCACGGAAATTCGTGATACTCCCGTCGAGTAGAGAGTCATACCATTCACGAGCCGGGCCATCCAAAGTGGCGGAGAAACCGCGGCATCGGATGGCGTCCTCGTACCCCATCATGACCATGTAGGAAAGGTACCGAGATACATGATGTTGGGGGTCAGAAACGCCCTTGTATGCTTCAATGGCGCAGGGCTTGTAGCCCCTCGGCAACGGCGCATCCATGACCGCCCGGGTGAAGGGTTCGGGTATCCGGAGGTCGGCCGTGTAAGGCTCCCCCCCGACGACCCTCCTTCTCAACTCGTCAAGGCGCTGTCGTAGATCTTCCATCTCGGCCGGCGGTGGGTTCCCCCAGACAGCTCCAGCGCGGGGCTGGGCATGTCCGGCGGCACCTCCAAGTCGTCCGTGCACGTGAGGTCGGGGCCCCACGTTTTGCCTCTCCGTGGAGCCAGTCCGACTGCTCGCCCGGTGAGAGTGGCGAGAGGGCTCGCCTCCTTCCATCTGAGTTGGGCGCCCCTGCTGGGCGCCCCTCCCCATCTGCCGATGGGGTCGGCTAGGCTGCTGAGAAACTTCTTCCCCCCGCCGATGGGAGACTTCCTCCCTCTGTTTTGGTTGGATCCAGAGCGTCGCTCATCACGCCGCCTGGAGGACACCTTCACATCCGCTGGCGTCTGTTGACGGGCAGGCTCATCCGCATTTCCGCTAGACACCATCTGTTGGAAATTTTGAGCCAAGGTCCCCAGAACCCGAGTTGCCTCCTGCAGGGCTTCCACCCCGGCATTGAGTCGAGCCGGGTCCATGCGAGGAGCATGACGTCGGCCTCCCCCCGCCGGCTGCGGACCGAGCGCTCACCTTGGGTGTGGTTGAGCGTCGCCCTTAGGTCGCCGTGGCCTGATAATTGGTTCCGAAGGTCGCCTTGGCGCGCCGCCCTCCTACCCTGTGCATGGTTGTCGAGGGCACGCTGGCGGCCAGACCGGGCGGACTCCTCGGTGTGGACTGAGACATGGTCACGTCGAGACGAGATTCCGGCCATCTTCCTGTGTGATTCCTACTCAAGTTATGTGAGAGACAATAGAGGCTCTCAATGAAAGCACCAATGTTGGTCCAAAATAGGACGCTCGTAGGCTTTTAGGAAAGCTACGTACGACACTCAAGCAGGAATTAGGAAAGTACGAATATGGAAAGTTAGCCAGAAAAAGCATATCTGTATTTGAAATTCGAATTGCCTTTTATAGGCGATTACAAATGGTAACTGCCGAACATAATAATGACTAAATTAATTACAACATTAATACGGAATTAAACACATAATTAAGTCGCGCATTGATTGTTGGCCGTTACTCTTCCTGGCTGGCAGGTCAGCCTGGCTGGCAGGCTGGACGCTTGAGCTCCCCCCCTGCTGGACAGGACGGTGGGCTTCCCGCTAGGCTGGAGGAAGGCTTCTGACCGGGCTGGAGGCAGGCTCCCGGGTAGGCTGGAAGGCAGGCTCCCGGGTAGGCTGGAAGGCAGGCTCCCCGTTGGGCTGGAGGCAGGCCCCCACCTGGGCTGGACCGCAGGCTCCCAGTTGGGCTGGATCGCAGGCTCCCCGCGGGGCTGGTGGTCGGCAGGCTCCTGGCTAGGCTGGAAGGCAGGCTCCCGAGTATGCTGGAATGCAGGCTCCCCGTTGGGCTGGAGGCAGGCTCCCACCTGGGCTGGACCGCAGGCTCCTGGCTAGACTGGAAGGCAGGCTCCCCACTGGGCTGGAAGGCAGGCTCCCGGGTAGGCTGGACCGCAGGCTCCCAGTTGGGCTGAACCGCAGGCTCCTGGGTAGGCTGGAAGGAATGCTCCCGGGTAGGCTGGACCGCCGGCTCCCAGATGGGCTTCCGCTCCTTGATTGCCCTAGTTGGTTGGGCTGACTCGAGCTCTGGGTTGCTGGGCTTGGGCCCGCTGGTCCAAGTTCGGGGCCTGGGCCGATTAGGCTCTGGGCCTAGTCCCATAACCCCATCAAGACCTACTTTTGGCACTACTCTCTATCTAACGGTTTACCTACGCCCAACAAATAAAACTGAAGTGTTGTAAAATTAAATGAATTATAGTTAGGGATAGCAACAGGGCGGTTCGGGGCCGGGTATACCATTATAATCCCGTACCTGCCCCGTTATTTGATTTATAATCCCCATATCCGCCCCGTTCCTCACCGGGTAATCTTTTACCCGAAGTGTACCCGATTGGAACGGGGAACGGTTTTCCTCGCGGGTAACCACATTACTTTTAAGACAATTTTTTCCTTTCTAAAATAATATCTCTAACCAACAATAACTGAATTATCTATTGACTATTTTTTTCTTCAATAAGCACCGCAAACCAAATCTTATCACAACAAAGAATTTAAAATATAATTACAAAGTAATCATAACAATTGCGGTATCACACATGTACACAAAGAAAAACAAAGCAACACTTGGTAACATTTAAACTCTTAACTCATTTACATAGAAAATTATTGCAACTACACAAAGTAATCAAAATTAAAGTGAAAGGGAAACTAAACTAATCTTTTACATAGAAAATTAGAGTAACTACACAAACTAATCTCTTCTCGCAACCAGTGATACTTCATATATTTTACAAATTATATGGTATATAACTAATATATGAAGTATTACATAATATATTAAATATATAATCTAATATAATATATAAGATGATATTGCGGGTCGGGTAATGGTGCGGGTAATTGTACTCGAACTAAACGGTGTGGGTAACAGGTCAAGTAAGTATAAAATCGTACCTGCCCCATTTCCCGTTTACATAAATCGGGTATTCTCTGCCCGTACCCGTTATGCGGTCAACACGGATTTTCCCCATTTTGACCGATTCGATTCAATACGGATATCCATTGGGTCGGATTAAATTGTTATCTCTGATTATGGTTCCAAAAAATTACGAGTAAAACTTACTATGGCCCTACCAAGAAGCAAGCGTGTATTCTTGTCAAACATACCCTAATTATCAAAATAGTAAAGTCCGTATAGGTTGGCTCCGACTTCGTGGCGTCTGACAGTCTGACATTTCTCTTTCAGGAGAGTTTTAAAATGGTGATTTTACCGGCGTTTCCGGTAATCTGGTCTCCGCACCTCTTCCCGCTTCTAGTAACTTTCCCTCATTCTCTCCGCATCAGAACCATGTCTTTGACTTTTTGATTTTTCCATCTTCTCTCTTCACTCGGATGCTAAACAAGACTTTTTTTCATCATATTCTTCTTCAAAACCCGAAGAAGACCCAGACACCAATTATGCTCCTTCTCCCCCCCTCCTCTCTAAATGTTGTGCCTTTTCATTTCATACAAACGGGTCTTGTCAATACATTTAATTCATACACAAATGTAGATACAGTTACTGTTACTTATTGCAGTGTAACCAGTGTTTGTAATATTATTGCTGCTGTTGTTGCTGAGTTTGAAGTGGCGCGCAGGGAGAAGATTATAGGCATACGAACTTGTAAATTACTCTTGAGGTTTGTCTATACGAGCTTGAAAGGTTGTGTCTTTTATTTGGTAGATTTGAGCTGAGGTCAGAATCTGGTCTTTTCTTGAGCCTTCAAGTTGTGATCAGCTTTCCTGTGTTTGGGGTTCTGGGAAGCTTAAGATCAGAACAACTTCTGGTTGTTTCCGATTAGGGTATAGAGGTTTTTTGGGGGGTTGAGTGGGATCTTTGATGGTTGACTTTGATCATGGCCTGGCAACAGAGACCACTTCTGATTCCTTCTCCAAGAACCCCAGGAGCTTTGAAAGATTCAAAGTCTGGGTCATATAGCACTAAATCACCTGTTGAGATGGATTCAAACACCCATCATGAGAGTTCAACTTTCCCTGATTCCATCCGTGGTTCTTCTAGAAGAACTATGTCCTCTAATAGGTCTAGGGACTCGAGAGCGGGAGGTTCTATTAGGGAGGAAAGTTTTGGTAGGTTAGGATCAAGAGGCACAAGATATGGATCTCAAGGAGCTGGCTCAGAAGGGGTGTTTAGCTCTTCTTTGAAGGAAATTAATGAAGAGGACGCCAGGTTGGTGTACATAAATGATCCATCCAAGACTAATGAAAATCTTGAATTTACTGGGAATTCAATCAGGACAGGAAAATATTCCATCATTACTTTCATACCACGAAATCTGTTTGAGCAGTTCCGTAGAGTTGCATATATTTACTTTCTAGTTATTGCTATCCTTAATCAGTTGCCCCAGCTGGCAGTTTTTGGCCGGGGAGCTTCTATACTTCCGCTAGCTTTTGTATTATTGGTTACAGCAGTTAAAGATGCATATGAAGACTTTCGGCGGCATAGGTCTGATAAGGTTGAGAACAATCGATTGGCTTCAGTTCTCATAAATGGTCAATTTGAACACAAGAAATGGAAAGATGTAAGAGTAGGTGAAGTCATCAAAATATTATCAGATGAACCTATCCCGTGTGACATGGTTCTACTTTCAACAAGTGATGCCACTGGAGTGGCATATATTCAGACAGTTAATTTGGATGGAGAATCAAATTTGAAGACACGGTACGCAAAACAGGAGACACATATGAAAAAGGAGAGTGTAGGTGGTGGATTGATCAAGTGTGAGAAACCCAGTAGAAACATTTATGGGTTCCAGGCATACATGGAGGTAGAAGGGAAGCGTGTTTCACTTGGACCAAACAATATAATTCTCCGTGGCTGTGAGCTCAAGAATACTGCTTGGGCCATTGGAGTTGCAGTATATACCGGAGGGGAGACAAAGGCCATGCTGAATAACTCTGGAGCTCCATCAAAGAGGAGCCGTCTTGAGACTCGTATGAACCGTGAGATTATTATCCTCTCATTTTTCCTTGTCACTCTCTGTACTGTAGTCACTGTTTGTGCTGGTGTTTGGTTAAGGCACCATAAGGATGATCTTGAAGTTATTCCTTTCTTTCGGACAAAAAACTACTCAGAACAAGATGTTAAGAACTACAACTATTATGGTTGGGGAGCAGAAATATTATTCACATTTCTTAAGTGTGTTATTGTCTACCAAATCATGATCCCTATATCACTATACATATCCATGGAGCTTGTTCGTATTGGTCAGGCTTATTTCATGATTCAAGATTCTCAGATGTTTGATGAAGCCTCAAACTCCAGATTCCAATGTAGGGCTCTTAATATAAACGAAGATTTGGGACAAGTGAGATATGTTTTCTCTGATAAGACTGGTACATTAACTGAGAACAAGATGGAGTTTCATCGTGCAAGCATTTGGGGAGTAGATTATGGCAGCATAAGTTCCAGTCTCGTAGAAGATCAAGTCGCATACAGCATTCAAGGTACCACCGCTTTGCTTATTCATTACTCCAAACTCTCATCCTACATTTTTACTATTTCATATATTTTCCTTTGCAAGTAAATGTGTTCTTTTATAGTGAGAAAACAAATGTTTAGTTTGCGTGCTGAACATGCAATTTTTTTGTCCATATCATTTTGTATCAGAGGATAGGCAGGTTTTAAGACCCAAGATGAAGGTAAAGGTGGACCCGGATCTTATTAGAGTATCAAAAGCTGGAAAACATAGCGGTGAAGGAAAACATGTTCATGATTTCTTTCTTGCCTTGGCTGCTTGTAACACTATTGTTCCTCTTACTATGGCGGATCCCTCTGATCCTGCAGCAAAGTTGATTGAATATCAAGGAGAGTCCCCAGATGAGCAGGCATTGGTTTATGCTGCAGCAGCACATGGTTTCATGCTTATTGAACGAACATCTGGGCATATTGTTATTGATATTCATGGAGAAAAACAAAGGCAAGCTGAATTAGTTACTCTATCTCATTTTTTTTTCTGTTGAACTCCTCTTTAATCCATCCTGAAATAATATCCACTTTTCTATTTTTAAATGCATCTAGTTTCCTACTTTTTCTTATTCCTCCTTCTACCTTTAAACATTTTGAAATGACTGAATATGTGGGTGTCAATATATGTGTGTCTCATTTCATTTATATTCCTCCATCATTTGCAATGGAGCCAAAGATTCATTATTTTTTGGCTTGAGATTATGATGGAATAAAGCAAAATGCTCACTAAACTGTCTGCGCTTCTTTGTTATGAAGCAGTAGTCAGTCCATGCAATTTTGGACGCGCTTTTCACTATGGGTCATCCGGAAACAGTCTCTCTGTGCTTTAGTACAGGGGTAAGACTGCGTACATCCGACCCCCCTTACCCCACCGTAGGTGGGAGCCTTTGCGGCACTGGGGAAAATGAAAATGAAAAATTTCATTTATATATAAAATGCTTGGCCGAAAAATGAAATATAGGGGCCTGGTGGTGGTTGAGAGGGAGCAGCTCCCCCCCCCCTTCCGGATCCGCCCCTATATATAAATATATACGTAGTATAACAGTCATGTTCCATATGTGGTTGTAAGTTATACAATATCAAATTTGCAATCATTTGTGACAATAACAACTAAGTGAACTAAGTCAATGCATTTTCATCTCATGATATATTTCATTCAAGGAATCAACTTGTAACGAAGACGTTTGGCAATTTAATCTCATTATTCATCTTCAGAAGGCTGCATTAAGGCATGTGGCATAAAAGTTTGCCACTTTTTTTGCTTGAATTTGAACAATTAATGGATGCTATAATTTTTAAGGGGAGCCTTGCGCACCGGTTACGTGTTGCTATGTGACTTAGAGGTCACGGGTTCAAGTCTTGAGAGTGAGCTCCTCTCAAAAATTGACAAGGAGTCGAGGAAGGCTTGCCCCCTATACACCCTTGTGGTGGTCCTATTCTCCATCGTCCTCTCCTGGCGGGGACACCCAACGTGCACAGGGCTGCCCTTTAATGGACACTATAATTTAATGTCATGACCTATCATAGTTCAGATTAAGGTGGTGAAGATTCATTCATTCATTCATTTATTTATTTATAAAGCTTCTGCTCTGTAATGCAGGTTTGATGTTTTGGGTTTGCATGAGTTTGACAGTGATCGGAAGAGAATGTCAGTAATATTAGGTTTCCCTGATAACACAATAAAGGTCTTCGTTAAAGGTGCGGATACAACCATGTTTAGTGTAATCAATGCATCAAGAAATTCGGACGTGGTTCATGCAACAGAGTCACATCTGCATTCTTATTCGTCAATGGGTTTAAGAACTCTGGTGATGGGAATGCGAGAACTAAGTGCTTCTGAACTTGAACGCTGGCAGACTTCTTATGAGGCAGCAAGTACTGCTGTAATTGGGAGGGCAGCTTTACTTCGTAAAGTTGCTACTGATGTTGAAAGCAACCTTCACATACTAGGCGCTTCAGGAATAGAAGATAAATTGCAACAAGGTGTTCCAGAGGCAATTGAGTCTTTGAGAACAGCGGGTATTAAAGTTTGGGTTTTGACTGGAGACAAGAAAGAAACTGCTATGTCAATTGGCTACTCGTCTAAGCTTTTGACGAGTACAATGACCCATATTACTGTAAAGTGCAACTCCAAAGATTCATGTAAGAGGAGTTTGGAAGATGCCTTGAGTTTAACTAAGAAGCTTATGACACGCAATCCTGGAGCAAACTTAGAAGGTAATGCAAATTCAATTTCCTTGATCATTGATGGAACAAGCCTTGTTTATATCCTTGACAGTGACCTTGAAGAGCAGGTAAATGCTCATCATCATCTCTCTCTCTCTCTCTGTTACACACACACACACTATTTCTCTTTTCCACAGACTCACAACTCAAACACACTCTCTCCCTCTCTGAAACACAGATGTTTAATATGCAATGCACATCTGTTGCTTATTTGCAGTTGTTCCAGCTAGCTAGCAACTGCACTGTGGTACTGTGCTGTCGAGTAGCTCCACTGCAAAAAGCTGGCATTGTCGCCCTCATCAAGAACCGAACAGATGCCATGACCCTTGCAATCGGAGATGGTGAGTATTAAATCTGTCATCTCATCGTGAACCAAAAGCGATTTTGTCTAAAGCCGCTTAGTTGTTTCAAGGATCAACTTTCTAACGAGAAAATAATAACAATTATAATTATGTACATAATATACCAGATAAAGAATAAACTGTTATGCTCCATATGTTTTCATGCAGTCAAGTTCTAACATAAGCTTTTCAGGGGCTAATGATGTTTCGATGATCCAAACTGCTGATGTGGGGATAGGTATCAGTGGCCAAGAAGGCCGTCAAGCTGTCATGGCATCAGATTTTGCGATGGGTCAATTCAGATTTTTGGTTCCACTTCTATTGGTTCATGGACATTGGAATTACCAGCGGTTGGGCTACATGATATTATACAACTTTTACCGGAACGCTTTGTTTGTTCTTGTCCTGTTCTGGTAAGTTCATGACTTTTGGTAATTTCTGAAAAAATTAAAAGAAGAGATAATATGTCCTTTTGTTATTTTTACATTTTAGGGGAATCGGGAAAAAACAAAAGAAGTTCATGACTTATGTTTATGTTTACATGTTGGGGGGTTGGGAATTAGAAAGTAGAAACTATGAACTGTAGCTTAGAACTGATGCACTTTGTTGAAATGATCATCTTTGAATTGAAAGATCCTTCCCAATTTTCCATTCTTTAATATTAGCTTATATTGTACTTAATTGTCCTGAGCAGGTATGCACTCTTCACGGCTTTCACTTTGACGACCGCCATCACGGACTGGAGTAGTGTTTTGTATTCAATAATCTACACATCTCTGCCTACTATAATTATTGGAATTCTTGAAAAGGATCTGAGCAGAATGACTCTTCTGAAGTACACTCAACTTTATGGAGCTGGACAAAGAGAAGAAGGTTATAATGGCAAATTATTTTGGGTGACGATGATGGACACCTTATGGCAAAGCGCAGTTGCCTTTTTCGTGCCTATTCTTGCATACAGGAAAAGTGATATTGATACTTCAAGCATTGGAGATCTTTGGACACTCGCAGTGGTTATTTTGGTCAACTTACATTTAGCCATGGATGTAATTAGGTGGACTTGGATAACCCATGCTGCCATTTGGGGATCTATTATAGCAACTGCTATCTGTGTGATCATCATTGACGCGTTGCCTTTCCTTCCTGGTTATTGGTAAGACTTCTATACTCATTGTAAAAAATTTCTTTTATCTATTCATATCATGGATTTGAAATTTAAATGGAATGGTAGAAAACACATCATATTTACACCTTAAAAAGTTAATAAGGCTTATAATTTATTCACATTATATCTTCTCAAGTGAAATTAGTAAAATAAGTTTTGAACAGAAACTTTACCTAAGAAATAGGATGTTTGGGTGCAATCATATTTTCATACTCCTGATATGTAAGCTGCAGATATATGTTAAATAAAGGAGCTGTAGAGTAAATAAAGAATTAGAGTGCAATTGAAGAAACATCTTGTCGGAAAGATGATGTGGTCTAGATGTGTCAATGTCCTTGGTTTTTCATTAAAATACTTCTGTTGTTTTGGTTCTGTAAGAAAATATGCTTTGAATATAATTCAATAAAAATCCATCTAAAAATTGTCCATCAATAGTATGCATTTTGCATTCAGTTATCTTTGCAGAATAGTTGAAGACCTTTAGATTGGAAAGTGTCTTTCCACATTTACCCTTTTTATTTTCCATATCACTGATTCACTGTATCATGTATCACCAGATCCTGATTGTAAATGCAACACAATTTTGCAGGGCCATCTTCCACATTGCAGGAGATGCTTCATTTTGGCTGTGCTTGATCGGTATCATTGTAGCTGCTTTGATTCCACGATTCATTGTAAAAGGTTTTGTTCAGTACTTCATGCCTAGTGATATTCAGATTGCAAGAGAGGAGGAGAAGTTAGGAAACAGGACACGGTCTCAAGAGGCAGAAATAGAAATGAACCCAGTTTCCGATTCTCCTCAAAGATGATGTTTATTTTTTCCCACATTTTGTAAAGTTTTGCCATTCTTTATGTTACACAGTCGATTTTTCCACTTTGCTGCCTGCTTATGCTCAATTCAGGTGATAAGATGTCAGAGTTCTTAAGGTTGTATACTTAGGGTCAGCATTGTGTGCTCTTCTTGTTCTTGAAGCATTGTTATAGTAAAGTAGTGATAGTCACAAATGATTCTTTCCTTTCCTTTGTACATCATCAATTATAACAATAATAGCCATTAAAGTTACCTTATTTTTGGTAGCAAGAATCTTCTGTTCTAAAATTTCTGATTAGCTAAAATTTGACCAGTCCATCCTGTTAATTCGCAAAGCCTGCAAATGTTCCATGTCTTGTGGCTTTTCATTTGATTAAATATGTCTATTGTCTGTGTTTCATGAATCTTGTATGCCTTAAATTGTCTAGTGAGGACTCAATTTTACTGATCATGAAAAATTGACATGTCTCTTGAATCTCAAATCCTTAAGATATATTGACAAAAATGAGAATCATGAAACATATTTGTTTAAATAAGAATTCACTTACGAACTAATTATCTGATTTAACAAGTGCATAGCCTTGTACCACTTGACAGGTCATGTAGGCCTCAAGGAACTCCATGACTTACTTTATTGAATTATTTCTTAAACTTTATTTAAACACAATTTCTCTCATGTGTTTGTTTTATACACTTCTCACTTAAAGTTTTAAGAGAATGTTTCTTTTTAAGAGTGTGTTTGTGTCATGTACTAATGCGTGTTGATAACTTTTCAATAGAGACACTCCTTTAGCTAATTGTGCTTTATCTGCAAGTAATCCACCATCAGAGTGGGTTGGTTGTTCAGGAGATATGCCATCTTTAACTAATTATTTCATCAATGGTTGTGTATGGGGTTGAACTTGAACGATAGCTTCTTATGGGTAGATCTCTTGGTGAATGCTTCCATTGTTGGACCTCTTATCATGAACTATTTCGTTTCGGCGACAGTAGCCAGTAGGATATTCAAAGTTCCTCTTCATGAGCCTTTCTGCCGGTACTGGATGCTTTTGTCTACCGTTCATAACTTGCATTTTCTTGCTTACTTTTATCGTCTTGTGCTTCCTTGTTATTTGTGTTTCTTCAGGCATGCATTTGTTCCTCATTTTTTGAGAAGGTGGGTGTCCGGGACCTTTGGCCCGAATCATCTCGCAGGCCCTGAAGTTAATGACCCGGTAAACCATTAGCGACCTTCCGGGATTCAAACTAGTGAACAACCCCGGAAGGTTATTGTCTGCAATTTCTATGCATAGTTTCTCTGCATTTTCAAAATTGTTTCCTGGTTCACACTGCCTTTATGTGTTAGAGATCTTTTTGCTTTCTATGAAAAATTGATATATCCGGATCATTCCTCGAAATATTTTTCCATAAGATTTTATAGCCGACTGCTTTATTCCAACCTATGTTTTCATCATCCATCGTTGCAGAATTGCAGTAATGTTATTTTGTTGTTCTGCGTGGTCTGTTCCTTTCCTGACAGTTCTTTTGTTGGTTACATCCTCTGGTTATGAAACAATGGTTTTATTCATGAACCCAAATTATTAGATGAGCAAATCAAATGAGTATCCTGATTATGTTTTGTTGTCTCCCTCAATGATAACATTTGAAACTCCAATCAAATAACTGTAGCATTAAAGAGTAATTTTTATTTATTCAAAAAAAGAGTATTTTTTATTTATTAAAAAAGAGTAATTTTTATTCAGATTGTAACCGTTATCATTTAAAGAAACCATTTACTCAAATAGATAATGATTTTTAATGCAAAAATATTGTTCTCATCAAACCGTGATTTCTAATTTATCATCATTAATTACAAATAAAAAAAATTCTTAAGTGGATCATGTAATTAAGTGGATCACAAGCAACAACGTAGCGGCCGTCTCTACGGTTGATCCCTAGGTGTTTCTTCCGGCGGTGTCGGCAGTCACCTGGTCCGACCTTCCTTCTTCTTGTAGCAGCGAGTGATCTAGGAGCAGATTTCAACGTCATAGGGGAGTTCCGAAGGTAGCAGCTAGGGAGTCAGGGCTTCGGTCGAGTAAGCAGGTAGTGGTGGGCCTAGGTTTTTGCTAATTCGCAGCGCACAACCTGGACGCAGCTAGTTTTTGAACATCGCCAAGGGCGCAAATCAGGTAGGGTTGTGTGCGCACTGAATTACTAATCGATGAGGGTGGCTTCCAAGCCACCGATAGATAACAAGGTGATGGCAGGAGAGGAGCTGCGAACACGAGGGCTAATCGGGAAGGGCTAATCAGGACGAATGGGAGGCAGGGCAAGAGGAATCTACTAGGATTGGTTGATGCTTCGATCCACCCCGCTTCAACAATAGCTGTGATCCGGCCTCCTCTGAATCATCGCCGGGGGTTGAACTAGGTGCTAGGATTCAACAATTTTATTTTGCTTCTTTATATTTCTTCATGTTTCGCTTTACTTGGATCTTTACTCTATTTTGGTTGTGCCGTGTTTTTTCCGCAAGAAAACTCTAGAACCTAGGTCGGGTGATGAGGAGTCTGATTTGCAAGTCATTGTTCCAAAGCGGGATCAACGAATCTAATTGCTTCTACGGAGGTGATTGATTCTAAGTCTGGCTCTAGAGCGAACGACAGATAGAAGGCTGTTGTCATTTTGTAACATGTTTATGTTCTGTTATCATAATTTAAGCCACTTTCTTCCAAAAAAAATCATTAATTACAAAATAGATGTTTTGATTTCTAAATAGTATTCGAAAATAAAATTGCACTTATGTATACATGTATTTCATTTGTATATGTTTTAAGTTTTTCTACACATATTTATATAGTCGTTTGGTCTCATTAGATTAGACCAAATAAATGTAACTTGTGAAATCAACATCCAGAAAAATGAAAAAATTCAGATTAATCTGAATTTGAATAATACGCAGCCGCCGTATTGATGTTAAATCAAATCCAAAAAATTTGCTTTCAATTTTAAAAGAGTTGTGCATAAATCTTCCTGAAACATGTTCATTATCTCCTCCCTTCCTTGAGAGGTTAGAAATTTCAAAATTTCATTGGTTTATTAACAGAGAAATTCAAGAAGATCCATGAGCTAAACGGACTCCAAGCCCATTACTCCTCTACAATCATCTCCTGACATTTCGCTTGCATACATTGCATACATTGTACCAGATAATGATCTTCGTGCTTAAGACAATTCACATTTTTAGATATGCCGTGCCAGCACAACATAGGTCATTGATTGTGACCTATGTAGTTATACCTAGAAATACCTATCATTTATCTTTCTAGTATCCCAAAGGTATATCCTAAGTTATTATGCAAATCAGATGTCATTTCTAAATTACGGTAGTTTTATTGGTGTACCAAAGTCTACCAATGTACGTAGTATCATATTATACATCACAATTATTGACCAATACTGCAAAAAAAATATTACTACTATCACACTTTATCACAATCTATAATATGGTTGTTAAAACATTTTTTCCAAGAGAAATCATAAAATTCAGAAAGAAAACCCATAAAATAAAAATGGAAAACAAATAACTAAAGATAAACGGAAAATTAGAAAATAAAGATAGAAAACAACAAAAGTACATGAGCCGGTTTCTGGTTTTCAAGGTTTTTTTGGGTTCATTTGTTGGCGAAGTGGGGAATTGTTAAAAAAAACCAAAATAAAACAAAAGATTATGAGTCCGTTTGATGAGTCAATTTTTCGGCTTGTTGGGATATTGACCTAGAGGCTCAATACTCGGATCAAGAAGGCCCAAGATACCCGGCCCAAGCAACGGGCACATCACTCTATGATGAGATAATCAAGGTAGAATTGATGCCGAACGAGATTCGGCCCAAATAAGGGTTGACCCAGTAAGAAAACATACCGAACGGAGTTCGGGCTATATATTATACTTGGGCCAATTTGACAGCATCTTCAGCATAGCCCAACATCCCGTTCGGGCAACGGCCAACCAGCAAGTGGCCAGGTGCAATTAATGCCAGATTGTGACATCAGCAAGTGGAAACATGGATGACCAAGTCGGTGGAACAATGGCCAATCAGCATAGGGCAGCTCATGCTCTCCATTAGTATAAATAGAAGGTTTTAAGTCATTGTAAGGGTTAGCATTTCAATACTCAGGCTCTAGAATAGCATCATTGCTCTTGTTTCTTGTATTAAAGTATTGTTTCCGACCTACCGATCGGGAAATTCCTTGTAATCAGACTGGTTAGTTAATACAAGTGAGCTTTCGAGTATTGGTGAGTTCATATTTTATATTTTGTTTATACACTTTGATTCTGTGCCATTCCTGATATATCCAAAGTTCGTGTTGGGCTTTCGGATCTACGGGATTTACACTCAACACAGCTTATTAGACTTATGAGAGGTAACTTTTGATTTCGTGTGTTGTATTGTGTAATACTCCTTCCGTATCACTTTAGTTGTCTGTTTGCTTTTTCACATAGTTTATGATAATTACTAGACTATGAAAATACGAGATTTTTCTACTATAACGGTACTGTAACTGTTTTTTTGGGTGAACTTCTTTTCAAAAAGAGAAATGAGAAATAATTTCATACGTCCCAAAAAGGAAACTGGGACAATAAAAGTCATACATAGGTTGTAATAAGAAAAAGGAAGATTCAAATTGCTTTTATGACTGTATTGACTAAAGTTATTGTAAAACCATTTTAGCTATTTTTCATATAACTTTTTCTTTATTTTATTAATAAAATATGTTTTAAATATTTTTTCATAAATCAGCAGAATCAACCAATCCAACCACTTCGATCAGAACTTCATAAATTCAACTACTTCAGTAGTTCAGTGTTCCCGATTTCTGTATTACGAGTATTACACTTCAGTATTAGAAGATATTGACAGGGTATGTTCTTTTTTAGGCGAAGGTGGTGACTACAAATCCGCATTGTCAAATAAAAATTAGTCATATTGTCAAGAACATAGAGAACTTTCAAAAAGCGATATTTTATACACTGGAAAGAAACTTTGAAAGGAGTGATAAGCCATAAATTGTCACTATATCTTTTTTTACATTCTATTATTATGTTTAAATGTAGACCTTTGACTGATAAACAAGTTTGCTCTCCTAGTTCAGAAACAGCAAATGCAGTAATAACAGCGAACCTAACCAATAAAAATTAACGGAGATATACAAGAGAAGTCTTTGCATATGTAAACGATTTTCCCAGTTGATTTCACAGTAAATGCTGCACACCATAATTAGGAGTCAAATTGGTGCTGCACATGTTGTTCTAAAGTGGCCAGTCTGATTGCAGCGACTGCAATGCACAATTCGCTTCATACGACCACGGTCTTCTGCTCTAACTCTTTTTTTCCTAGGACGGCCAGGAGGACGAAGTGACTTGGGAGGATTAATTACAACCTCATTGACTTTAACAGCATCAACATCCTCTTCAGTTATTAGCATCGAAGTCTCCCTCCATAATGACTTATCTGGAATGGGATGTATGGTTTGAGAATATGTCTTGCGGTATGTTGCCACGGTGAAGCAGCTCTCTGTAAACCGATGTACATTCTGCCTGCAAGAAAGCAGGGCTGCAACAGCATGTGCACAGGGTAAGCCATAAAGCTGCCATCCCCTACAAAGGCAGCAGCGGTTCCGAATGTCGACAATATTGGTTCCTTCATGAGATATAACTTCAAACTCTGCTTCATTAGCTCGCAGAACCTGGTAGGTCCGGGCACGTTCCAGAGCTTCTGCAACACGCCTCTCTGCTGTAGGCACCAGAATAGATGTCCACTGCATACTAATTTCGCGGCGCTCATTAAACCAGGTCATAAGTTGTCTTCTTATGCATTCCATCATCTGGATTATTGGAAGCCCAGACGCCTCAAGTATCCAGGTATTAAGCTGCTCCACTATGTTAGCAGTCAGGTGCCCAAATCTTGTTCCCTCGAAATAAGCTGTCGCCCATAGACGTGGTGGGATACGCCGGATCCAATATGCAGCATCTTGAGATATCTCTTCAATCTCCAGGACTTTTGCCTCAAAATCAATCACTGTGAGTGCATGAGCTGCTTCCCATAGTAAGTTAACAAGCATTGTATTGTTAAACTCTTTACGGAAGCTTTCACTCAAGTGACGCATACAGAAACCATGGAATGCAGTAGGGAAGTTAGCCTCCACACCATCTACAATGCTCTTCTGCCTATCAGATAGAATCGTGAGCCTTGGCATGTTTTCTGTGTTGATCTCAAGCAGAGCATGAAGTTCAGAAAGGAACCACATCCAATTATCATCATTTTCTTCATCAACAACACCAAAGCCTAAAGGGAACAGTCCTCCATCCCCATCAAACCCAGTAGCCAATAGCAGAGTGCCAAGGTATTTACTCTTTAAGAATGTCCGGTCAAGGCCAAGGACAGGCCGGCAGGCATTCAGAAAACCATATATTGATGCCTGAAAAGATATAAACAGTCTCTGAAAGCTACCGTCAGCAGGATTTCCGTAGACTGAAGCAATGCTTCCAGGATTTGTACGTTTCACCTGTTCACAGTATTGTGGAAGAAGGCGATATCCTTCTTCAAAGGAGCCACGCATTGCAGCCATAATCCGTTCTTTTCCGCGCCAAGCTTGCTTGTACGATAAAGTGATACCATGGACACGGTGAATTTCTTCGAGGATCTCCTTTGGCTTGTAGTTAGGGTTCTCCCGAAGGCGTTGTTCGACAGAGCTAGCAACCCACTGAACAGAAGCTTGCTGATGGCCAAGATGGAATATTCCTCCGCATGTATGGTTATCATTGATGGTTCTGATTGTGAAGGTGGGCACACCAGGAAGTTTTGCAGCATGAATACGCCAAGGGCAACCTTCAGTGGCACATTTAGCTGTGAAACGAGTTTTGTCAGATTTTATGGTCTGCATTTCGAAGTGAAGAGCAATAGCTGTATCACGCAAGGCCCTACGGCAGCTCTTAACATCGGGGAACTCTTGCCCTACATGAAGCTCGAAATCAGGCGTGGCAGGCACCATACGAGCCTGGAGGACATGATTGGAAGAAAGTATCATCTGGCCATTCTGAATCATGTCATCTGCAGATTCAATTCCCATATCATGGTTCTCAACGACTGCTAGATCCATATTTTCATCATGTTCTTGGTGATCTGCAATAGCCAGCTCATTGTGTTCAGATATATCTAAACCATTGTTCTCGCCAGCAAGAGCCAATTCATGTCCCTCAGACCCCGGTTTTTGCTCCATTGTAAGCCCACCTGTCTCATCCTCATCATAAGCATGTTTATCATGATCCTCATCATAACCATGTTTATCCTGATCCTCATCATAACCATGTTTATCCTGATCCTCATCATAACCATGTTTATCCTGATCCTCATCATAACCATGTTTATCCTGATCCTCATCATAACCATGTTTATCACGATCCTCATCATAACCATGTTCGTCATGCCCCTCATGGCTCTGTTCTAAACTTTCACTCCCAGGGTCATGCTCCAATCTAAGATCATGCTCATGAGCCTGCCCCAACTCTAAACCATGGTTCTGGCTCATACCCACACTATGACCAAGTCCTCCCAGTGACATCTGATGGTTCTGCTCAAGACCCAAATTGTGGTTTTGCCCAAGCATCTGCTCACTGTTTGCTGTTCTACACTTCTACTACTGCAAAATTTAATTGCAATATAATGTACTTACATTCGGTCTTCCTACAAATACCTAAAAACAGCTGAATGTAACCATGCATGTGTAACATGAAAGCACAGCATGATAAAGAACAGACTTTTAAGCACAAACTATGTGTGACATAATAGTAAGTATTCTTGTGGCTCTATGGGTATAATACAGCCTGAGTTGAAAATGTAAAACAAACTATATGAACAACTACATAAACATCATAACTACAGAGCAATGCAGAAGAAACAGAACACAGCCTCTGTCTTACTTTTGAATGTCTGTATTTCAGTCTACGCTTTATGTAAGTAAAGATAGCTCAGCCATATCTGCTTGGGAAAGCAACCAAACCGTCAATCACAACTTCCAGCTAGACAAGAACAGAAAGACACCAATAAACCTCAGTAAATTTCAATCCTTAAAAAGAGAGGAAAATAAATAACATGGAACCAACACGATCCACCACACAAGAATACCTGCATATGGAGAGAAAAACCCTAGCTTTCCAAACCAAGATCGACTCCTGAAGATAGCTCGATCCAGCTAGAACTTCGAATTTCTAGCGTTTAACTAGCAGAAGATGCTAAAAAGATGAACAAATATCCAACTCCGATTGCCAAAAAGGAACAAAAAAGTGAAATCCAAAACCGACCCAGAATTCATATATGAGAAAGGGATCGGAAGGAAGAAAGAGCAGAGTTTGAAAAGGGCGGGTAAATTGGTTTAGAGGGGAGGCAGAGGTGGTGGAGAGAAGGGGAAAATCGGAAAAGAAAAGGGCAAGAGAAGGGAGGCGAGAAGGGGAAATTGGAGGAAGGGCAGAAGAAGGTTTTCCGAGGGCTGAGTTGGGAATTCCTGACGCCTCTCTGCGCTGAGGAGGATGGTATTTACGTCAAAATTCTATGGGCCCTTTTCGTGACTTACCATTCTACCCCTTCTCTTCTGTCCTTTTTGTTTATTTCCCCACCCTTTTTCTTCAGTTACGATTCCGCCCTTCTACAAGTTCAATTCTGAGAAATTAAAGAAATACTATCACGTTGCTAACGACTAACGTGTACATGTACCGTCTGTTTCGAAAACGAATTAAATACAGTACAAAAAAGGGATGTTTGAAAATAAATTTACTCTTGAACCCCATTTTCAAACAAATAAACACATTTTTTTTAAACTTCAAATAAATATACCTTTGAAATATTTATAGAGCATATATAAGTATATATGGCATAACATATACGTATACACTTTAACCATTTACACGTCAGAGCAAAGGGGATTAGGGGAAGAGTACTAATACGATCAAACTTTTATTGACGCAAAATGTTAATTTTAGAGTTAATTATTGTAAACATTTTGTGAATCACGCTGCACATGAGGTGTTAGCTAAAGCGGCTAACTCTGAGTCCGATACCGATCATGATTATATTGTTGCTCCTCGTTATATTGTCAATCAATCGGTTAACAGTCTTATTTATTGAATGAAATGAAGGTTACCTAAAAACCATTTGGGCATAAAGGTATACTTATTCGAACTTTATCATTTCAGTTTTTAATTGTTCCAAATGAAAGTTGAGATATATATTTATTCTCTGACACATAGTTGAAATCAATGTTCTAAAAGGCGTAAGGCGTGCCGAGGCGGCACGTTCAAGCTTTAAGCCTTTGAAGCTTAGGCGGGATAAAGGCGTAAAAAGGCGTTTTGATTTTTATCCTTTATTTTACTATTTCTAGAACTATTTTCAAAATATTTATGTTTAATATTAAATAATGTTATTAAAAGCATGATGTTTATCTCATTTTCAACAAAAAAGATTTGTCGAGTCCTAAATCCAACAAATCGGTAGTATATTTTTACCAACGGCATAAAAAGAAATAATAACTAATATATTACCAAAATATAAGTAATGGACAAAAATGTTCTTTAATTATTCTTAGTGATTGTAGGTACATTTAAACTTTACGCTGTAGTGACTATATAAATATACTTATAATCACTCTAGTCATATATCTCGTTAATAAAATTTACTATACAAATATTTTATAAAAAACATCTAATAAAAATGATAAACATAAAATAGAAAAGTAATATATAATAATAATAACAAGGATTACAAACACAATAGTATTAATATTACCAGTGGAGGACCTAGGGAGGGGCCTAGGGAGGCAAGTGCCCCCGCTTTCACCCAGGAATTTCACTACTAGTACTTAGAGTAAAATTAGTGCCCCCGCTTTCCGGTCAAAAATTTCACTACTAGTACTTCGAGTAAAATTAGTGCCCCCAACCCGTACAAAAATTATCAATATTAGATAATTAAAATACTAAAATGTTACAGTTATATAAATTAAAAGTTAATACACAATATTTAAATTTTAGCTGAATTAAAATAAAAGATATAGAATTCTCAAAAAAGGAGAAGAAAATAGTTAAGAGTTGAAAACGAAAAGTAACCAAAAAAGTTAAAATGTAAAAAGCAACCAAATTAATGTGCGGCCGACTAAAAGTAATCTAATTAGATGTTCTCTGTTGAGGGTAAGTCCCGTAGATCCGAAAGTCCAACACGAACTTTGGATATGTCAGGAATGGCCCAGAATCAAAGCGTAAAAGAAAATATAAGATCTGAACTCACTAAAACTCGAAAGCTCACTTGTATTAATTAACAAATCTGATTACAAGGGATTTCCCGATCGATAAGTCGGAAATTATGCCTTAATACAAGAAAAAAGAGCAAATGATGCTATTCTAGAGCTTGAGTATTGAAATGCTAACCCTTACAATGACTTGAAAACCTTCTATTTATACTAATGGAGAGCATGGGCTGTCTCTTGCTGATTGGCCGTTGTTCCACCGACTTGGTCATCCATGCTTCCACTTGCTGATGTCATAGTCTGGCATTAACTGCACCTGGCCACTTGCTGGTTGGCCGTTGCTCGAACGGGATGTTGGGCTGTACTGAAGATGCTGTCAAATTGGCCCAAGTATGATATATAGCCCGAACCTCATTCGGTATGTCTTCTTATTGGGCCAACCTTTATTTGGGCCGAACCCCGTTCGGTATGTCTCTTTATTGGATCTTTTCATCATAGAGTGATGGGCCTGTTACTTGGGCCGGACACCTTGGGCCTTCCCGAACTGGGTATTGGGCCTCTAGGCCAATATCCCAACACAAGTCCCCCACTTCCGATGTCTCGAACGAAGTGAGTGCATCAGGAAGTATACCAATGTCATAATACCCCGAATGGCGATCGGGGTACAGAAGTAGCTAGTTCCCCATGCGGCGATTTGACGGCTGCCGCTTCATTTCCCCATATTCATCATGATAACCGTCGTTTAGTCTTTTCATTAGACGCGTGTCTAGCTTAAATGCCCCTAGTGATGTGTTGCTCTCTGATTGGTTCTTGACACGGCGGTTTCAAGGCTTATAAATTAGCCCTTAACTCCTCAATTCCGGGTTTCGACTCTGCAATTCATTGGCCTTCGTTGTTTCCTCTGCAAATTTCCCCCTGCTTCCCTTGCTCAGGTAATTTCCCAATCTTGGATTCCCCATCTTTATTTCTGGCTTCGATCGAGATGAGCCCCACAGAGCATTCTTCTGATTCGGAGATGGCCTCTTATGGAGATGACCGTGACACCGCCATTGTAGATGCCATCCCAGTTCCGTTTGCCGGCGTTTCTACTGAGACGGCGACGAATACCAGGGCTGAGGCGGAGGACCTCCCTAGCACTTCTTCTTCCTCCAGTGAGGATTCTGATGACACCAAATCCGAGGACGAAATAGCCTCCATGGCGGCCGGACGTCCCAACGATGTTCCTCGCCATACTCTTGACCTAAAATTGATTAGGGAGAGGAGGCAAAAATTGACTTCTCACAATAGGGCCGAAATTCCGGCCCTTATCCCTGATCCGGTGGATTTCCGTTTGCAAGCCGGGCTTCGCCCAATGCGTCATAGGCCCGGAATGACCATAGTCCACTTTGACTCGATTAGGGCCGGCCTTAGATTTCCGCTACACCCCTTTTTCATTTCTTTCTTCAATTTCTACGAAGTTGTACCGGCCCAGATTATGCCGAACTCCTATCGGGCAATGGCGGGGTTCATCTGTCGTTGCAAAGATGCCGGTGCCCGACCAACCCTAGATCTCTTCCATCAATTCTTCAAAGTGGCCCCCCAACAAACCCACGGTTATCTGGCCACCAGTGCCCGAACGGGACACATCCTGTTCAAAGGAAATCCAACTTCAATTAAAGGGTGGAAAGACCGTTTTTTCTTCGTGTCTGTCCCGGACGGCCTAATTCCCCGCAAATGGAATGCCTTTCCTCGCAAGACTCCCGATCCTGTCCTTACTGAAGAAATTTACAAGGACGTACTTGCCGTGGAGAAGGATAAATGCATGGACATCATGAGTTATCTGACTCCTGAACGACTTATTACAGCCGGGATAGGTACTGCCCATTCTCTTGGGTTTACTTGTTTTGAGAAACCAAGTGCCATGGTCCGGGCGGTCCTTCCCGTGCGAGAAACGTTCTTTTGTTCTTTTTTCTAGTTTCTCACACGCTAAGGTCGCTCGATACTAACATTGTTCTTTTGTCTTTTTTTCAGCACAAAACCCAGATCTACCTATGGACAACAGCAGAGTTATGGCAGTTGGTGGGGTCGGTAAGCGGAAAAAGGCCAGGAAGAACCCCCAACCTACTTCCTCTACTGTTCCTGCCCAGGATGCTGGGTCTTCTCAACCGCTTCCAGAGCCACAGCCGATACAGCAGGTCCATCAGGATCAAATCGATGCCATGCTGGTCGATGATCGGTTTGGCTCTGATCAACTGCAGCAATTTCCCGAGCATTTTCAAGCTGCTCCAGAAGCCGGCCAGGGTACGGGTGAAACTCCCACCGTTTAGTTATCTGGCCAGGTTGACCGGATTTCCCTGGCGGATCCGGTTCATGATGTTGTGGAAAGAGGTGGCTGTTCGGCAAGTCAGATCTGGTCTACCTCCGCCTTCTTCAACAATTTCACCATCCCTAAGTTATCGATCGAGCAGTCCGAGGAATGCCTTGCCTTGGCAGCTCTGAAGGTATCTTGCCATTCCATAGTTTAAATCTTTCTTAATCTACAATTTCTCTTCCCCATTTCATTCCCTGAATGTCATTCCGTAGGTTGGGCTTTATAGCCTGCAGCTGAAGGAAGCTCGATTGGCCAAGGAGCGGGAGCTAATCGTTGCTCAGAGTTCCACGGAGCAGAATGCAGCAGCTGCTTTTGCTGCCCTGGAGGCCGAGCGGAAGGCCCATACTGAGGAGAAGAAACGTCTTGAATCGGAGCTTGGCGAGCTTCGGGTTCAACTCGGAGTTTCTCAGTCCAAGGTCCATGCTGCAGAAGCTGCCTTGGTTAAATTCGAAGAGCATGACCCTCGCATCCCGGACGGTCCTGCTGAAATACAGGTTGACCTGTCCGCCGTTCGGGAGTCATTTAAAGGGTCTGATGAGTTTGCCCTTTTGAAGAAAGATTTCGCACAGCAGCAACTCCCAGTCACCTTTGGTGATTATCTTGACCATTTTTCCACGGGTGACGCCCGTCGGAGCGAGGGGGTCAAATTGCTCGATCAGGACCTCAGGGGGAAAAAATTTAATGATTCCCTGGCTCGATCTCTGTACGTCATGGGCTGTCAGCACATCATGGCTCCCTTTATCGCCAAATTCCAAGAATTGATAGGGAGGCCGGTCGAGCTCACTGATCTCCCTCAGGCGCCCATAGTCGAAGCTCAATATGAGAAATATCAAAGAGACTTACAACGGGCTGCTGATCGGGAGGCGGGAAAGGAGCCTGATCCCCTTACTAATTCGGATGAGGAGGGTGATGAAGAAGACAATGGGGCAGGGCAATAGAGTAGTATTTTAGTAACTGTAACCCCTTTTTGTTCTTCCCTTACAAAGAACCTTAACTGTATTTCCCGGTCAGTAGAGCCGATGAATATATATCTCTTTTTTGCATGAAATTTTGTGTACTTTCTTTTCTGTCTTTAATGCATGATTTACTCGCCATTCGGGATTCGGCCTGTTTCGTAGGACTTAACCAATTTCCTAACTTATTTCTTGCTCAAGTAATCCTAACGCCGTTGATCGCCGTTCGGGCATTAGAAAGTTCTGATAATTTACTTAAGGAAAAAACCCCTTCCCCCTGGTACTCAGCCGTTCGGGCTTCATACCGAATTTTAGGACTTGGCACATTCTCGCTTCAGATAATCTCTTACAACTTGATAGCCGGTCGGGCTTCAGTTCACTCCTAGGCTATCTTTTTATGACGTTGATAACCGGTCGGTCTTCAGGTCAACTTTTAGGACTTAGTAGTTTTCTTCCAGATAACCTTTTACAATACTGTTGGTCGGTCGGGCTTCAGGCTGACATTTAGGACTTAGCATTTTCTTCCTGAACCTTTTACAATACTGTTGGCCGGTCGGGCTTCAGGCTGACATTTAGGACTTAGCATTTTCTTCCTGACTTTTAGCATTTTCTAAACAGCAAGCCCCTGTGATCTTTGCTAATCCTCTGTAAGCCCGTCCGGGGTACGTGCATAAAAAATGAATCATGAATGCCCCAAATTAATCGTAACCACCCAATGCCACGTGTTGCTCCTGGATTAGGGATTTGTGCGGTACTTTCCCTATTTATAGGGAGGTGCTTCCCCTAATTTCTCCTGCTGTTTTCTCACTTTTCTTTCGAGCTTTCTCTCTCTAGAATTCCTTTGCATACTCTCAAGCCTTCTCTCTCTAGAGTTCCCAAATTTCCTCCAGCGTTTTTATGTACTACTCCTCTAGTTCAGAATCTGAAGAGATGCCTTTGATTCGTAAGAGCAAAACATCCGCTGGTAATCAGGCCGAAGGCTCTTCGTCCCAAACACCCAAACCTGCCAATACTCAGGTCAGCAAACCTATCGAACAGTCGCAGGAGGACGGATGCCTGTCGGGAGATGACCTTCAGGTTTATAACAAGGGGATGCCCGAGCGGCCACCCCGCATTGCCCTACACTTCAATCGCATACGCAAACACAAACAACGTCTCCCAGAAGACGTTGAACGGCAACTTAACCAGTTGTTGCCCCCACCAAGAGAATACTACGCCGGATTCATTCGGCATCCTATGAGGCACAGACCGGGGCACGTGCTAGTGCATCTCGATGCCCTGACTGCTGGACTTCGGTTTCCTCTCCACTCATTCATAGTGGAGTTCTTACGCCGGGTTGCTGTACTGCCCGCTCAGTTCGTGCCCAGCACCTACCGGATTCTGACAGGCTTCATTATCCGGTGCCACGAGTTGAGGATCACCCCGAGCGTCGATCTATTTCTTTATCATTACTGCTATCAGCCATACTGGACGACCGGGTACTTGAAGCTGGTAGCCCGTTCTGACCGTCAGCTGTTCACAGAGAACGTTACCCCGCAGGCTGACTGGGAAGAGCGGTTTTTGTTCGTTCGGGTAGGTGATTCTTTGCCATTCCCGGACCGGTGGAACGCATATCCCGTCCGGGATTCTCTGCCCAGGGTGGATGCCGTTCTACGCTCCCAGGCTGAGTCTCTGCGAATGGGAGGGACCAGAAGTCTTCGCAGCTTTGTCACTGCCTCGAGCATGTTATCTGCTGGAATTGGTAAGCATAGTAGGGTTTTAACCCGATCATCCTTCGCTCTCGCAATTCAACTTTCTTATTTTTTATTTCTCTTTCTTGTAGGTGTGATCTCTCCCATACCCGTCCGGCGTTCCATCTCCTCTGCTAAAGGGAAAGAGAAGATGATAGCCGATCGTGATTCGGCGGGGCAAACCCGAAAAAAGCGCAAAGGAAATGATGGCGATCATCTGATCCCGATCGACCATGTGGTTGACTTGACCGGGCCGGAGGTTGAGCCCAAAGGTTCAGTACCTGCCAACAGACCAACTCCGGTTCTTACTGCCACACCGATCGATGATCGGATGTTTGTTGAGTTCTCAAATATGGGGCCCAGATCGGAAGGGAGGTATCTGTTCGGGTTGATGCCATCTTCTATGTGGTGTCATACCGCGATCAAAGTTCCCCCGAGCTTCACTAACTTGACTCACTGGTCGGACCTTTTTGAAGCAGGTCACCAGGAAGCACTTAAGGTATATTTCAGTCCGTCCCATACCTTTCTGTTATTTATGTTCTACCTTTTCTGACCTTCATTGTAACCTTGTTTTCAGGCTGGCGTGTATTATCACAAAGCCTTTCTTGCCGCGGAGAAGGAGATGAAAGCCCTGGCCAGTGATCGGGATGACAGCCAGGTCCTCCTCTCCGCCGCTCGGAAGTTAGCGACCGACCTCCAAGAGCAGGCCAAAGAGGGTGAGAAGGCAAAAGCTGCTCTGGCCGAGATGCAGGAGATGTCCCGTCGTCGCGACCGGGAGCTCAAAGAACTTCGGGCCAAGGTGCGGGCTGCTGAATCTGCTGGCATTAAATTTGATAAGGCTGTCGGAGATCATCTGCCCGAACCCTACACGGTCAACACCTCTCAGATTGCTCAGCAATCGGTAGTGGATTTCCAGCGGGGCAAGGCGCTGAACCTCGCTCTGGAGAATACGGCCCGGCAATTCCTAGGTCCTCACCTTGGCCAATTTTTGCGTGAGAGATCAGATCCCATCAAGGCAGGGATCGACCTCCTGGATAGCACGCCGGAAGGGAAATCTTTCTTGGATGTCCTGAACGAGAAAACTGTTAAGCAAAGTCAGGACCTGCTTCTGGATAGGAATCTTGAACTGATCTTAGAGCGTTTCCCCAAGCCGTTCGATCCTGATGAACTAGGCTTCGATGATCTGTTCGGGAATACGTATGATCGTGTTATGGAGAAAAGATCCAAAGCAGCGCCTGACGATGCAGTGCAGGCGGGGAGCTCTCAGCCTACATCCTCCCCGAACGGCGATCATCCATTAGTGTAGCCTTTCCTTATCTGTTGTCTTCTTTCTTGTATATTTGTTTTTGTATATTCCGGCTAGTAACGCCGAAGAATAAACTGGACTTTCTTCCTTTGTCTGTTGCACTTTTTCTGGCCCTTTGATTTTTTGTCCACAATCTTTTCTTCATGGCCGAACCTCACTCGGCTTATGTATTTTTATATCTGACCTTTTCCGGACCCGTTTTGATCCCTTTTCCTGTTCGTGATGCACGGGTTCAAAACTCTCAGCTGAGGTGAATTCCTCCAAGCCGTTTTGATCGTGACCACAGGGTCCAACTCTCGGCTGGGATAGGGGCTCCCTCCAAACTGTTCTGACACCTTCCCGAACCCGTTTTGATCCCTTTTCCTGTTCGTGACGCACGGGTTCAAAACTCTTTAGCTGAGGTGAATTCCTCCAAGCCGTTTTGATCGTGATCACAGGGTCAAACTCTCGGCTGGGATAGGGGCTCCCTCCAAACTGTTCTGACACCTTCCCGAACCCGTTTTGATCCCTTTTCCTGTTCATGACGCACGGGTTCAAAACTCTTTAGCTGAGGTGAATTCCTCCAAGCCGTTTTGATCGTGATCACAGGGTCAAACTCTCGGCTGGGATAGGGGCTCCCTCCAAACTGTTCTGACACCTTCCCGAACCCGTTTTGATCCCTTTTCCTGTTCGTGACGCACGGGTTCAAAACTCTTTAGCTGAGGTGAATTCCTCCAAGCCGTTTTGATCGTGATCACAGGGTCAAACTCTCGGCTGAGATAGGGGCTCCCTCCAAACTGTTAACCCGCTCGTCATTCGGTCATCCAGAATGATTTCATGCGTTAACAAGCTGAGGTGAGACTCTCTTTATAATGGTTCTGACACCTTCCCGAACCCGTTTTGATCCCTTTTCCTGTTCGTGACGCACGGGTTCAAAACTCTTTAGCTGAGGTGAATTCCTCCAAGCTGTTCTGATCGTGATCACAGGGTCAAACTCTCGGCTGAGATAGGGGCTCCCTCAAAACTGTTAACCCGTTCGTCATTCGGTCATCCAGAATGATTTCATGCGTTAACAAGCTGAGGTGAGACTCTCTCCTTCCAAACCCATAATTCCGATGCATTCCGAACTGTTTTCTCTGGCTCGTATCATCCATATTAGGGGTCTGAGGTAACCCTTTTTTGAACTGTAAGCAAGATCACCGAAGTTGGGTCATTTCTTACTTATAGCTAAAAGGGCGACTAGCTTCCAAGTCACGTTTTATGACTGAGGCGAGATTTTTCAAAACCATAGTTCCGATTCCCCGGACGACAATCCGTACATTACCCGAACGTCGCTCGGTTAATCCATATCTTACAGTCTTGACACCATCTCCAAGCCGTTTTGATCCCTTTGCCCGTACGTAATTACAGGGTCGACTTTGGCTAAGTTGACGACTCAGCTCCCTCCAAGCCATTAACCCGTTCGTCATTCGGTCATCCAGAATGATTCTACGTGTTAACAAGCTGAGGTGAGAATCACTGTCCTTCGAACTCCAGGCCATTTTGATCCCTTCATCAATGCGTAATTACAGGGTCAAAACTCTTGCTGAAATGTATGGCTCCCTCCAAACTGCTAATATGTTCGTCATTCGGTTTTCCAGAATCGATTCTCATATTAACCGCTGAGGTGAGACTATCTGAGCGTCAAATTCCCAGTCGTTTGGCTGAGAATGACCTTCCTTCCATGGAGTTAACCCGTTCGTCATTCGGTCATCCGGAATGATCGAGTTAACCATGGGCACCGATTTTCTGAGCCTCAATTCTTCAAGCCATTTTTGATCCCTTTATTCTTACATAATTGTAGGGTCAAAAACTCTCTAAACTGAGAATTGATTTTCCTTCCATGGAATTAACCCGTTCGTCATTCGGTCATCCGGAATGATTGAGTTAACCATGGGCACCGATTTTCTGAGCCTCAATTCTTCAAGCCGTTTTTTATCCCTTTATTCTTTCGTAATTCTAGGGTCAAAAACTCTCTAAACTGAGAATTGATTTTCCTTCCATGTTGTTAACCCGTTCGTCATCCGGTTATCCGGAATGATTGAGTTAACCATGGGCTGAGTTTGTGGAAGTTATGTCTCCCTCTCCCTATTTTTTTTTAGAGGTGGCAACAGCCATTTTTACTGATCAAATCTCCTCAGATGCTCTACATTCCAGGTTCCTGCTGGTCGGCCTTCGGTATTCTGTAGGCCAAACGTTCCTGAAGCATACTTTTTACATACTTGGTAAGGGCCTTCCCAATTTTGTGCCATTTTGCCCCCTTCGAGCGGTTTGCTTTTCTCTCTCTTTCTTAGTACCAGGTCCCCTGTCTCGATTGAACGAACTCTAACCTGCTTATCGAAGTATCTTCTTGTGGTTCTGTGATACTCTTCCATTCGTGCCGCTGCCAGATCCCTTCTTTCTTCTACGAAATGCAATTCGGCCCGTAAGTCATCTTCATTCTGTTCTGGGCTGTAATGCATCGTTCGGTGTGTGGGAACCAGGATCTCTGTTGGTACTTTGGCTTGAAAACCATAGGCAAGGGCAAATGGAGTCTCTCCCGTGGCCGTTCGGGGTGTGGTCCTGTAAGTCCATAGAATGTAATTCAACTGATCGGGCCACGACGAGGAGTATTCTTCTAGCTTCTTCTTCATGCCATCCATGATGGTTCGGTTCATATTTTCTACCTGGCCATTTGCCTGAGGGTATGCGACGGATGCTCTGGAATGCTTGATCCCCCATTTGACCAGATAGTTCTCAAAATTCCGGCTCACAAACTGCCTTCCATTGTCAGTTATAATCTGTTCAGGGATTCCGAACCGGCAAATGATATTTTTCCAGACAAACTTCTGGCATTTTATATCTGTGATGCTGGCCAGTGGCTCGGCCTCTACCCATTTAGTGAAGTAATCTATCCCCACAATGATGTATTTGTTGTTTCCGGGTGCAGTAGGTAGAGGACCTAACAGGTCTATTCCCCATCTTGCGAATGGAAGGGCCACCGTTATTGGAGTGTAGAAAGTGGCAGGCCGTCCGGGAACCGGTGCGTATAATTGGCATACCTTACATTTCCTGGTATGCGCGAAGCAGTCCTGTTGGATAGTTGGCCAATAATACCCTTGCAAGATGATTTTTCTGGCCAGCGTCTTGGGCCCTTGGTGACTGGAACAGATACCCTCATGAATCTCTTCCATTACGGCCGCCGCCAGACCGGGTGGGAGGCATTTCAGATACGGTCCCCCAAATGTCTTTTTGTACAGCTGCCCGTCCACTAATTCGAACATGGAAGCCCTCCTCTGGATGCATTTTATTTGATAAGCAGGATTTTTATCTTCCGGGAGGGTTCCGTCTTTTAGGTAGTTGGTCATATCCACGACCCAGCTCGGGATGGCATAAGATACGGCCTCGATCTGGATAACCATTATTGCTGGGGTTGCCAATGTTTCCCGATGGGCAAATCGTTGGATATGAGCCGGGATCTCCTGTGCCCGATCGTCGAACGCTGCATGTTCTAATTTGGACAGGATATCTGCTTCAGTATTTTCGATTCTGGATATCTGGTCGAGCACCACCTGTTCAAATTTTCGTATCTGCTCCTCGACCATTTCCTTGTATGCCTTCATCCTTTCTTCTTTGGCCTCAGCCGTGCCGTTCACTTGATGTACCACCAGTTGACTGTCCGATCTTACTTTTAACCGATCGGCGCCCAGGGCCCTTGCATACTTTAAACCAGCAATGAGAGCCTCATATTCAGCCTCATTGTTGGTCACCTTAAAATCAAAATGAATGGAATAATACGCTTTGAACCCTTCGGGCGATGTGATCACAGCTCCAGCTCCACAACCTTTGGCACTAGATGCTCCATCCACGTACATTTCCCACCAATTATCCAGCCCGTTGTTCTCTGAATCTTTTTCTGAGGGCCGGGCGGTACATTCTGCAATGAAATCTGCCAGGGCCTGCCCTTTGATAGTAGGCCGGGGTTTGAAATCTACCTCGTACTGACCGATCAGGAGACTCCACTTGGTAATGCGCCCACTCGCCATAGGATTTCTCAAGATGGTGGATAATGGTTGGGTAGTATATACAGTTACCGGGTGGGTTTGGAAATACGGGGCCAGGCGTTTAATGGCAGCTATCAGGGCCAGTATATTCTTTTCCAGCAAGGTGTACCTGGTTTCCGGGCCGTTCAACGCCTTGCTCACAAAATAGATTGGCCGTTGAACGCCAGCTTCTTCTTTCAGCAGAACCGTGCTTACGGCCAAGTCGGCTACAGCCAGGTACATATACAGATGTTCCCCTGGTTCGGGCTTTGTCAAGACCAGGGGGAAGACAGATATGTCTTGAAATCCTCGAAGGCCGTTTGGCATTCGGCCGTCCACTCGAAAGGGTTGGCTTTCTTCATGATTTGAAAAAACGGGATAGCTCGATCGGCCAGTTTTGATAGGA